CTTTACTCTTTACGATATGACTTGAGATAGAGAGAAAAATGAATCTCAACCTTCTTTCTGAATTTCTTAAAAAGACTTGGACTGTCACAAAATCTATACTCTCTTTCATCCACTAGTTTTTTGATCCTAATAAAGTTAAAAAGATATTACCTTTTAAAACTGTTTCTAAAATTTCAATATATTACATTAAAAACTTTAAATTTTAAAAAAATGTGTAAATTTTCTTATTAATAAAAAGTTATATAAACCATTTAATATTGATTAGTTTTTTTTCTGTTTAAACACCAATCAAAAGAATACCTATAAGTCTTATATAATTTGTTATATAAAACTTTAAATAACCCTAATGATTCAAAGAAATAATTTCATTTATTATTTTAAGATTTTAACAAAATAAAAAAGTTTAGCTTTAGTTTATATTTTAGTTAATTTTTTTATTAATAAAATAATTAAGAGTTTTTTTAATAATTATTTTCAAGTAATATTTAAAATTTTTAATAATTTTTCTTGATTCTTTAAATTATTTATAGTTAAATGATAATATTTAAAATTAATAAAAAATTTAATTAATTTTTTAATATTCCAATATTAATTGATTAAAAATACTTAATAATGAATTAAAATTTGATTTTAATGTTAATTTTAAAGTTTTTTAATTTTATAAAAAATATAAAAATTAATTACATAAAACCCTTATAAATGACAATTAGAAAATACTTTAGAACAATCTTTTGTTGGAATAGAGTATCAAATGAATTACCAAATGAGGTAGAAAATGAGGTTAAAAATACCATGAAGAAGAAATTAATTGAGAATTCTAAAATAAAAAGCCAATCTATAATTCAATTACATTCAATTTACGATAAACTAGAGAAAGAAAAAAGTGTTAATTCACCAATTTCAAATGATGTTAATCGTAAAGCATTGATCCCTAATAGAAGTTTTTCATTTATTGAATCATTGAATAAATTTAAAAATCAAAAAATAAATGAATCTCCACCTAAAGAGATTAAAATCATGAATAGAACATCTGAATTTAGTAATTCTATGAAAAACATTCATAATTTTTTTAAAAACAAGAAATTATTACCTGAAAAGATGTTATTTTCACACAATTTTAGGCATGAACCAATAAAACTTAACATCTCAACCAATGAAAAATTAAATCAATCTGATATTAATAAAAAGAAAACTGATAATAACAAGAATCAAAAAATTATAAGTGATAATGATGAGTTTAATTTAGAAGATTCAGATATTGAAAAAATGGCAATTGTCTCATGGATGTTTGATTTATAATAAACGGTTAAATAATATTGATTTTATTTCTAAAAACTTTTA